GTGATTGCATTACAAGCTCCACGAGCTTGGTATAGTCGCATTGAGGCTTACTCTTTGAAAGAAGGCTTTCACAAATGTCCATATGAGCACACGCTTTTTGTTAAAATTGAAGATAAAGGGAAATTGCTCATTGTTTGCTTATATGTAGACGATCTTATATTTAATGGAAATGATGGTGTCATGTTTAAAGAATTCAAGAAATCTGTGATTGTTGAATTTGAAATGTCTAACCTTGGTATGATGCATTACTTCCTTGGCATAGAAGTAGTGCAAGCAGCTAATGGGATCTTCATTTCTCAAGAGAAGTATGTGCGAGAAATTTTGGACAGGTTTCGAATGAAGGATTGCAATCTTGTGAACACACCAACTAAGTTTGGTTGGCCATACATAATGCATTCTGTGAGTTTAATAAGTAGATATTTGGATAATCCAACAGAAATGCATTTGTTAGCTGCCAAGAGAATTCCTCGTTACTTGCAAGGAACTAGAGATTTTGGGTTGTTCTACAAGAAGGGCGAAAAGTTAGAGTTGTTCTGGTTTACTGACAATGATTATGTAGGAGATCAAGATGATAGAAGGAGCATTTCAGGCTATGTTTTTATGATGGGCACATGGGCTGTTTCATGGTCTTCTAAGAAGCAACCGATTGTCACCTTGTCAAGTTCAGAAGCTGAATTTATTACCGCAACAGCTTGTGCCTGTCAAGCTATATGGTTGAGAAGAATTCTTGAAGAGCTACAGTTAAAGCAAGTTGAAGTTACTACAATTTTTTTGACGACAACTCAGCAATCAAACTCTCCAAGAATCATGTTCTACATGGAAATATTATTTTTTAAGAGATCTCAACAATGATGGAACAATCAAACTGGTTTATTGTCGAAGTGAAGACCAAGTTGTAGATATACAGACCAACCCTCTCAAGATGGCTACATTTGTGAAATTGCGTGGTCTACTTGGAGTTTGCTCAAGTGCTGCTGTAAAGGAAGACTTTGTAGATGGTTGATTTTCTTTTAAACTGATTTCTGCGTATTTCAGTTTAAAGGAGGGTGTCGAGATTTATATGTTTTATTTCATATTTATTAATAGTCTAGTAATTGATAGGTTTGACTGAGGGTTTTATTTATTTATTTATTTATTTCATGGTCTTGTGTGTGAACCTATTTTATAGGAGTTGTGGCTAGTGCTAGGATGAATAGGTCTGGTGTAAAGCCTATATATAGGCCCTCTTTCTTTATCAATTTAAATTCACAGAGTCTTGCTTTTCAATATGTCTCCTCTCTTTACTTTCCTTAGCTTTGTATCATAGAGATTTTTCGATCATTTCTCGTTTTGTACCATCTACTTTCTATCTTTTGAAAGTGATTGAATTTGATGAAGTTTTTGACTTGGATATTGGTTCCCACATCCAAATACTTTCTTGAATAGATGCCATTTGCATGCATTCGAGAGAGATATATGGGAAGGTGATAACAGGGTTTAATGTTTATTTATTGAACTCTCAGATCTACGAGAGAGAATTAAAAAGAAAAAAAGAAAAAGAAAAAAAGGGTGAAGCATCAAGAAAAACTTGCTCCATTGGAGTTAGAATGTCCTAGCCACAGCCCTGCACATTTTTGGTTGCTAATTAACAAGAAAGTGAACAAAATGTACCTAGTACCAGTTAATCAACTAATCAAACTTAATGGCACGTCCCTTCGCCTTCATACTAAAACACGGCTAGATAAGGAACCTCTGAATTGCATCCATCACATCCTTTTAAATGCATTAGTAATCTTCTCTATGACCTGCTAGTTGATGAACCATAAGAAAACCTTGACGGGTTGCTTCAAATCTTGAGGCATTTTTTTCCATATCTTATAAACCGAAGGTTTCTTTGAGGAAAGTTTGGTGGCTGTCGACATTTGGTGCAGGGGCGATGTCTGCACCTGGCGAGCCCTTATGGCCGCCCGTGCTGGCTCTGCTGAAATTTTGTTTTTCTCTTTATATTGGATGGTTGCTACACGGTCGCTTGACCCGTGCTCACCTGAATCCCTGAATTCGCCACTGATTGGCTGCAAATAAAACCATGCAGCCTGCTTCAAGAGGGGATGTTTTATCGAAATGTCAATGCAAGTACATCTTAATTCTGTTTTTGACGACGCTAAAATGTCCTTTAAGGATGTATATTTTGTTGAAGAATCAAATGTAGCAGACAATGATGAGACTTCTTCTGGAAATCTTGGGCTATGCTGCCGTGGGAGAAGCTTGGCTCTTAAACCCATTTTCTTGAAAAAGTTAAATTTGTTATGAGAGAATGAAAATGGTTATATAATTGGAAGAATTTTGTTGGAAGTTTGGAACTAAGACTCCTCCTTGCATATGATATGTATACAGATTTCTGTTGCAACTGAATATCTATAAATATTCAAACTGAATCTATAGAATTTACTAGAAATATTATGTGATCTAATACTGCAACTGCCATCAAAGTAGCGATTAAAAAAGCAAAAATTTTGGGTTCATTCGCAAGTGTCACTTGTAGAAAACAACAAACCAAAGATGAAGAATGGAGAAGAAGAGAGAAAACCGATTGATTGTAGCCTCCAAACTTAGGGCAAATATGTGGGTTACAAGTGTATATATACTATGAAACTAAGGATAAAGTAAAAGACTAAACTACCCTTAACCTAATCTATTTATTACATTAACATCCCCCCTCAAACTCACGATACTATGCAAGAGGCAACGAGAGTTTGACAAGAAAAAAAGCATAAACCATAAATCGGATGGGACTTCATGAAGATGTCAACAAACTGTAACGATGAACAACGAAAGATAGGGAGATGATACAGAACTGCAGATAACCAACGAAACCACACAATCTCAGCCAAACCAAACGAATGCAAATTTCAAATTCCAAATTGAACTTACCATACCAATTCCAAGAACTGACTATGCCAAATTCCAAGATCCAGATAGACTGGACAAATATCAAACGAAATTTCTAATCCCGTGAACCGGGCATAAGACGAAATTTGCATCCTGAACTGAGCAACAAACCATATTTTCAATCCCACAAACTGGGCACAAAACCAAATTCAAGCTCGACAAATGCCAAATTTAAGGCACCCACAGCTAACAACACATCCTCATCTTCAGCAACTCATCAAACAAGGCCCAATAATATGCAACAAATATTACCTAAAATCAGCCCATACATAATCATCTTCCATAATGCCATAATGAGGAAAATTCCAATTAATCTGCTTTTTTTCAAAGAGACTTCTCCAGCAGGCCTAATTAATTAGAGCCCAACCTTTTTTTTTAAACCCAAATGCACAAATTGAAATCCCAAAATACAAGGCCCAAATCCCACATTACCAAACTACTGGCAATCCACAGCCCACTACTTAGGCCCAATTCAGCAGACCCATCAAACATTTCAAACCCACTTGCTCAAAAATTAAAGTACCAGCCCAACTAAAAAAAAAACTAACCCAGCAGGCCCAACACAACAAATCCAAGCCAACTTGAACCAACTAGCCCAATTTCAACATACTCCAGGACCCAAAACCAATCTACAGCCCATAACCCACGAAACCAAACCTGGCCCAATTTCCTCCAACTTCATCTTCTCCAGCGCTACGGCTGCGGCTGTGGTTGCCTCTCGTCGACACCAACACACATCCAACATTACTGACCTCTTACCACAACAATACTCAACCATAAACAAACATCAACCACCAGCCGACCAACATTCATCACAACAACCCATCAGTAAAACTTTCCTGATACACCCCAAGCCGACTCCGAAAAACTGCCGTCAAACCATGATCGGCCACCAACTGAACCGAAGTTCAAATCTGACCAAAAGCTTCCAAAATTATGGCCGAACCTAAGCACAGTCCCATAAGAATCCAACTTGAATCGAAGAAGAAGAAGAAGAACAAACCTCAAATGTTCAGAAAACCAATCTGACTAGTAACCTGCCTTACCAAACTGAGCTGGAAAACACAATCCAAATTCCAAACAACCCCAATGGTGACCAACCAAACACTAACACCAAAGAAAACAAAACCAAACCTATTGAAATAAAAAAAAAAAAAAACAGAACTCCTGGTCACCTGAAGCAGTTGAGATCAGAAATTTAAACCACATTTAACTCATCAAGCAGCAGAACAGAACATTCTCCTTATTCTCATCACGAATATCACCCTCAACTCTATCACCAAGAACCACAGCAGCACTTACCACAACAGTAACATCCTCTGACCGTCGGATGAGTGGCACAAGGCCGCTCGTCGAAGAATGGAAGCTCAGAAGTTTAATTCAAGATTAAACCCGCTCTGATACCATGTAGAAGACAACAAACCAAAGATGAAGAATGGAGGAGAAGAGTGAAAACCGATTGATTGCAGCCTCCAAACTTAGAGCAAATATGTGGGT